AAAAAGCCTGATTATTCCCCCGACATTTCGAATCCACTTCGCGCCTGGAGATACATTTCCAGCCCAGCTGTCCAGAATTATTACGACGTGTTCATTGTCATAGACCCCCGTTTCAAGAGGCAGCGGAGAGTCGCAAACGACAGTCCATCGATCACGACGGCGTCAACGGCGACGGAGCCGATAAAGTATTCCGGGATCGTTCATCGGGACGATTGGGAAAGGACGAAGGAGCGAGAACCCGAGAGGAAGTCGCAAGGCCTCGTTTCTCGAGACGAGCACACGAACCGAACCCTTTGAATACCTTACAGGATTCGATAGCGGGACGTCGGGGAGACATCTCTGGGACATCGGAGCCACGGCCTCGTTCGCAACCACCGGTTGCTCTTTGAGGCTAAGCTCGAGCTTTAGCTTCGCCACCTCGAACCTGGCATTCGCGATTCCGTCAACCGCCGGTTTACGTATGCCGAGGCACCCCGGAAGAAGGTGTGGCGGTCATAGCAAATATATATTAGAAGTTCATCCTTCGACACGGGCCTTCGACAGCCCAGCAGTTACGCTCATCGCTCATACCATGTAGTCTCTCGGGTTCAAATCCTGCTCAGGAGAGGTTTTTCGGTGTCTAAGGCAGGGTCTGCCTGATAGCCTTACTGACGAATCCACACGGGACGAAACACAACAAACAGGGCACACACCATCACTCCACACCAGTGCCAAAAACACAACAAACAGGGCATACACCCCATCACTCCACACTAGTGCCAAAAACACAACAAACAGGGCACACACACCATCACTCCACACCAGTGCCAAAAACACAACCAACAGGGCACACACACCATCACTCCACTCCAGTGCCAAAAACACAACAAACAGGGCACACACCCCATCACTCCACACCAGTGCCAAAAAGGAGTCCTTAAAAAACCCCCCAGAGCTGACCTCGTTACGCAAGATAGGAAAAATCGTCGACCAAGAGGGCGATAAGCACGTCCCACGCATCCGCGACTGTTCCGGAAGGAAGACTGGTTCTAAAGACGGATTACGGTTTCGCGTCGGCGATAAGAAATCCGCCGGACAGCGGATTTCGGATTACGGCTTGCATTTAGAGGCAGAAGTAGGTTAAGCTGCGATGATGGGGAACACAGGAGGGTAAACATTGTTTGAATGGAGGACATGTTATTAATCTAGGAGTTGGGCATGCAAACTGCTCAATGTCTCGGTACTCGTATCGTTCTCTTTAAATTTCATACTCATGATTTTTATTTACTGATGATCAAGTGAACTTGTAATGGATATTATCGAGGTCGTTTAATAGGTATGTCTTTTATTTTCGAAAGTAACCCCTTGTCGATACTGATTTACGTAACCTGGCCGTTTTAATCGATTTCATCGGGGAGTGAAATATTTACTGAACGCGTTTCCACAACATCGAACCACGGTGACCAAGACAAAGGACTGTAGAATAGACGCGAGTTGGGAAATAAGAGGTAAATAAAGTGTGTAAGGTGAAAGACTGCTACGTCCTGTTACTACGTGGATCAATCCCGAGGGTTTGCAATATCCGAAACGGAAGTAATTACTCTCCGAAGAAAAGAAGTAGCACGTTGGAAAAGAGGATGCGACCGATCGAGGAGGATCGATTACGGGCGTTTCACCTGCGGTTTCCGGACTCGGCGGCCGCGCATATCGAATTCTCATTTCGACACGGCTTCCGGTTGCTTACGCAGTCGCCTGCTCCAGCCGTCACTTCCGGCAAGGAAATTATTAACTGGACACCCGTAGAGGCAACAGTTCGTCCACGCTTTAGTGCGCGAAACTAAGTTAACGTTTGCCGACACGTATGCCGTCTGGCTCTCGAAACGAGAATATGTTATACAACTCGCAAAGTGAAACCCACGTCGTCGATTTGATAGCGGCCTTAAGGAAATAATAAAGCAACAGCTTTATCAGATACTTATTCAACGGGAATACGCGATTTTATCAACGGTTCGGTGTACAAGCCGCCCCTAATTAAATACTTTCCTAACGAAACTGTGGAAGGAATTACACTCCAGAGAAATCGGTGCTAAAGTGGACTTCAGGATAAAATCGTAAAAGTTGAATAAATGTTAGACGATGGTATCTTTAAAACGGTTACTATGACGCGTTGACCCTCTGCGATGTTTTGGAAATATTATATATTTTGTCATGAGATTGTGGAAGGGATATAGCGATATGTCGTAAGGGTGGGAAATTCTTATCGCGGGGTGATATTTCTTTTTGAGGTCTGTAATAAGAGGCAGAGTGATTAATACCTTATGTTGGTTTTTACAAGAGTACATTTTCTTACACGACGGACTCAATTATTCTGCCGAGGTCGCACGGTTGTCTCGAAGGAAAAGAACGGTCGGTGAGAAGAAATGAGCTTCCACGACGGGTGAGAATCCTTAAGCTCGGTACTCTTTTTGCGCTTTAAGCTACAGATCGTGACAATCCGGTGAAAAATGGCGCGATTAACATAAATTTATAGTAAATTATTCACCTCGGCATTTCTTAATTGAGACTCTTCTTCTGTTCTCTTTACAACATTGTTGAGATTACAGAATTTTCTCCCTTTTCTCTTTCATTCCCCTTATTTTCTTCTAGGATGTTTTTTGGGGCATGACTGATGATACGATGTGATAAGAAGAATAATACATTCATTAGGGCAAAATGCACATTTTTATAATACACCGAAATCCACATCTTATTTTTGCACCCTCTCTGATTACAACTGGTTGCAGTAGAATTTAAAAAATTCTATATATGCATGTATGTATAATAATATTGTACTAGCATTTGAGTACTACTAAACAATTAATCCGGATGGTTCCAGATTTATATTAAAAAGTTCTATTTAACATGCTGATTAGATACTGAATATCCTGGTGAATTTGCTGTTTCAATAATTTTGAAATTTGAAATCCCAGAGAAATTATTTCTTGATTAGTTGATCAAAAAAATAGTAGTAACGATGATTTATATTTCATCTAATTGAGCTCATGTTTCCGCAACAATCAATCACATTTATAAACCTTGCGTCGACTCTTCTAATCTTAAATAGAAATAGTTTATAAAATACAGATGCGTTTTACGTTTTTTATACGACTTAGCGAGCATTTGTATATAATTGTCTTCCTGTACAATTAACAAATATCTATGCATTAGTGTTAACCTGTTTCATAATTATCGCGTTTGAATTTTCTTGCATGAAACAAAAACTGGCGTTATGGCAGCAATTACTGCTTCAACGTACATATGTATGTAATGAATGTAAATAAATCAATCATCTTTTGTACTATTTCTTTTTTCTTCTCTTTTTTCACCTCCGAGGGTTTATGATTGCATTAATATGAGTGCACTAACGCATTATTAATGTCCTGAAAGATCACTGCAATTTATCTTTTTAATGCCAGATCGATTAATACTTAATTGCTCCCACCTCCACCTCCCCCTCTATTCTTTCTTCCGCTTAGGAAGGTTTCTTTATTATCTATCCTCTATTAACTAAGTGCTCGTAATGGTTCTTAAACACAGGAATGGTTTTAACGGGGTTTAAAAGACATTATTTATGCAGAGTGAACCTTACGTATATTCCGGGATTAAAGATAAACGAGTCGACTCTGTCACCTAGTAAATGTAAAATGTAAATTCAAATATATATCGTCTCTTTCTTTCATAGCGAAACGTGTAAAAAGTTAAGAGAAAAAACTGATTTGCGTAAATCTTTTTTAACAGACATTTACAGATATCTAAAATACGAAACATTAAAAAAATAATATGAGATTTATTTCTTTAAATTAAAAAAAAAAACTGTAATGAAAAATAAGCACTAAAGTACAAAAATACTATTACGTATCTTCTAGTACATCTTTATCGAATAATCGTAAATGCTGTGGTCCTTAGCGTAATTAAACGAATGGAAAGACGATGGCTAAGGTATCTACTTTCGACATGAAAATGCTCATAGAGAGGTAATAAAGAGGGTGTAAATGGCAATTTGCTATACATTGTCCTTTTAATGCAATGTTCTTACGGAAAGTGCAACCATAAAATGCCATAAAACCCCGGAAAGCTCGGCAGAGTGTGTAATAATTGCTCCTTCCCGTGTTATAGTGCACTTCGTACGTACTACGAATGCAATTTTACAGATTCACTTGGTAACTTAGCTGCGAAAGAGTTCTACAAAAGAGACTAAGAATAAGTTACCGAGGAGGCGCGCAATCGACTGTCCTTAGCGTGGAATTTAAATTAAGCTGTGAACGTTATTGTTCTCTCTGTAAATTAAGCGTGGAAGTTCTTGCAATAAATTATTCATCCTACCCACAAGGTGTCGTGCCGTGATTGTTCGTCAAGCAGTTCGGGGAAAATTGTATTCTTAAATTAAATCAATTTCCGATCATAACGTTTCGCGACGCACTGCGAGAAGTCCACCCATATTTTGACTGTACCTCTGTTATCATATTTTCTTGAATTGATGTGAAACCGACAGCTAATAAAATCAATTCCCTTATTACGATTTAAGATATTCTATTGGGTCGAGCCATAAGTTCGTGTCGTTTCTTCGTCGAAAAAGTTAAAAAAAAAAAAAAAAACTAAGTTATGCCTCAAGCCAATATTTGTCGACCAAACCGGTGCAGAAAATAATAATGGTAACAAATTGTCGCCGGTCAAGATGGAATTCTTAACGAGCGGGTGAGATGAATATTAATCGCCACATTGCCGAATCAGAATCTTCTCGAAGATCACGGTTTCTCCTAAAATACCGGAAACGTTTCGTTAAGCTCGCGTCGTAACGAGTGAGCAACGAAATTTGCAACTCATCATGGCTCGATTTCTCCGCTCGGAAAGAAAACACAATAATTCAAGCCGGCTTGCTTCATAAGTAAAGAATATTATTGCTTACCTTTAAGTATTGGGAATTAAGGCGTAAAAATAGTAAACGGGTGTTAAATTAACGAAAATGAACATTAATAACTCACCGGTATACTCCTTGTCGCCGAGCGCGAAGGTAGGTTACATCCGAGCCGACCTAACCTCACTTTCCCCGAGTCCCGCGTGTTCCATATCGGGAGATTCTCTTTCAAAGACTCGAAGGCGGCGACGACTATCGACCCTTTCACTGAGGACGCATTTGAGGTTACGGTATCGACTTATATTTATGACATCACGGGAATAAACGAAAGTCGCAAGATTACTCTTACTCTCGCCCGACTCCAGCACGAGGGGAAACCAGTTTGTTATGCGTTATACCAGCTTCGGATCAACGATCCAAGTGGACCCGAATTTTTGCAGGCTGCCGTTCCGAGAATAGTCGAGATCAAGATGGAGCTGCGGTCGTTAAGATGGCCGCCGGAGTACCGAGGCAGACGTATAAATTGCACCAGACTGCAAATTAAAACACTCGCGGTATGATAACTAATATTAATCGCCGAAGATCGCGCCTGGTCATTCTCTGGGCAGGAATAACGTATGAATCCCACGGATCGAGTATCGAACTTAGCCATTGGGGGCATTCAGAGGAGACAACTGTTGAGTTTAGCGCTCATCTGCTGGATGGGTACGTTCACTCACATGTTTACCGATCGGACGCCATTTTATGTATCACAAATTTTCTACGCTACCTACGCTCAACGTGTTGGGTAGCTCAAATTTAAATTCAAACCGTGTAGATTCAAGTTAAAGAATCAAGGATGGCAAATTAAATGAATTATTACAGTGAAATGTATGAAGTAAACGGTCTTACGATGTAGTAGAGATATTATTGGATTTGCTGGTACTTCATCAATTCTAATGAATAACTATAGATCTTGTACTTCCATATTTCTTTAGAAAAAAATAATACACGACGTACATGTACTGTAAGCACTGACTGCTAATATAATTATATTAATTACATTAGTAGTAGACGAATAAGGAGGTTAGGTTAAAAAACACTGGATCAGCAGAAAATCGCAACATGATCCCAACTCATCGGTAACCGCATTTCTCCGCCGAATGCACCCATTCGTCCACGTATTCGTAGACTTTAGGAACGAGGATTACGCTTTGGGATTACACTTTAGGAACGGTGATTCCGGCAATTAAACTCAAGCTTTATGGCGCGCACCTAAATGACGTTACTCAACGCTTAGGAAAGTTTCTCGGTATGTTGCAAATAAAGAATGTGGCTAAGATTTGTTCCCTAAAAAAGTTGACTCTACGGATACAGGTTCATCCAAGGGGTGGACCTTTAATAAAAATCATTTAACGAGGGTACTTCTTAACATTTACATACACGATTTCCACCGACGTATAAAAAACTACATAAGGCTATGAGGATTCTCACTTTATTTTCTTAAAATAATAAAAAACTCGATAGGGTTTCACGTCAAGTACATTTCCAGGCGGTAGTCCAATACAAGTAACTACGTTCCACGCTGAACCTTAAACTAGGAATTTCTAAGGATCATTAATTACCTCTGCCAAGGATAAGCGACACAGGAAACGATCCGCTTAGTCGAGAGTTCAAGGCGTAGATTATTAAATTCGGAAAAGTTTCACATTTGGTACATGAGACAGGAAGTGTCTCCGAGAGGGTGACACGTGTCGCAGCCGTCGCTCTCTTTCTCGCTCTCGCTAGTAAACTCTTATGTAGTCAACTGGACTGGCAGTCTCATGCCGGAATAACTCTCTCGAGGTAGGTCGGTATCTGCGATACGAGTTGGAAAGTGAGACAGCTCGAAGGCGATACCGAGGATGACGGTAATTTCCTATCCGAGGTTTAATTTACGCGAGTCCTTTATTGCCGGCCGCCTCGGCGAGGAAATCGCCCGGCTTAACCCGAAGCCGAAGTCGAACGCGACTTGGCGCAAATCGGGCCGCAATCGCTTCCACGAGTATGCACTAGATATTTAAATGAACCGTAGAAAGTCAACCGATCGCGACAGATCGATCGAGCGTAAAATCGGCTTGGTAATTTAGCCGTGCGAGGTATCCTTGAGCGAGGAGGGACAATTGGGTTTCCGCGCGAGTGCCTGGAGGCCGTCTTAAATCGCGCCGCTACTTAACACTAGGTTTACGGGCGTTTTATATATACCTAATTTCTACGAGCATCCGTCAAATTGACGGGTAAACGAAAACACGGATTTTCTTTTAAAAATCGACTTATTTAAATTAAGTCTGAATTAAACAACGCTAGGCTTTACGTTTAAATGAATTATTAATAGGTAAAAAGTCCTTTTTTAAAAATTATCACGGAAATTATTGGAATGCTCGTCCTCTCATCCTCGGAGTCGGAACTAGAAAGAATGCGCATCCTTTTCTTCCTACGACACCCTTTCAAGAAGTTTTCCTCTTCTCTATCCGAAGATCCTTCTATTTCTCCACTTTCAATGCAAACTTTCACTCTCATCTTCGCCTTACACTCTCTGCAACGAAGCAAATATATATGGATTGTTTATGAAATTAGCTAGTCCGTCAATTTGACGGGTTTCGTAGAGATACGTATACTACATACAGATTTTAATAATTAGAAGGCTTAGGAAAAAATAATTGTGTGTACAAATTCTTTGGATGAAATGATTAATTTACGATACAAAAATGGTTAAAATTAATGCTATGGTCTTTTCGGTATTTCTTTTCGAAGTTTAAATTCCGTCAAATTGACGGGACCCGTAAACGAATAAGAATATTAATAAGAATATTAATGGTTCAATTAAGATGTATACCTTAAATTGGACCAACACTCACATAAATCAGTAAATTATGTGGCAAAATAACATTCAATGTGTCTTGTATTTTAGATGCCAAATACATTAATTATGATTTAGGCGGTATATAAATAGATTAGATCAAAATGAATCCGTTCATTAAGGAGTTACAAGCAAATTTGCTCAGAGGGTTCAAATTATGAGACTCTCCCCTGCAGCCGGTACAAACATAACTTTATTCTTTAATTAATTGAGATTAAAATGCATAAAATCGAGTGCACAGAATCTACCATTCAACGAGCGAGAGTAATGTTTATGGAACTAAATAAATCATACCTTTCGATGAAAACGTTCGATCTTCATTATCGGAACATCGATATCTGCCCTTTCGTGGAAAATGTGCTGCCCTGCACTCCATCGTTGGTATAAATGTGGACTCAGGGCATTTCGTCCTGATATCTCTTCGGACGCGTCGTCGTCGATGCTCCTCCAGGGAAAAGACACATCTCGCTGATACTCCCTCGATTAAATTCGAACTATAGGTGCGGCATGGGGAGGAAGTTTACGAAGATCGATCAATCCCAAGACAAAGCGACGACACTACAGATGCGATGTGATACAATCAGATGACATTCGTGTGTTTCGCACCTATGCATTTGCGCCATGTGATAGAAAAGTATCAAGCAAAAGTAATGAGTGAGTCATGAATCGGGTTGTAATACCTCCGTCGAAGTACGATAAACCTGATCTGACTACAATTTATTTTGAATTTCTTTTTTAAACGATGTATAAGCTCCGCATTATTAGAACTGAATCGCTCATTTTCCTCACGCTACTGGTAATATAAATCATATATTGTTATTAATGCATATTTTATATAATACACGCGTTTAATTAATTTAATTGTTAATAAAATAGTACCATAGTTGGTATATAATGTGAAATGTAGGATGTTATACAGAAGGATCGTCTAGCAAAAAGAATCTACTCGTTACGGATGTCACGTGCTAGACTCGTGTGACCCTCCTTGGAGTAAAAGTGATAACTGCAGGCAACGACACTTCAAGTTGGCCTTAGTTGACGTGGTTGTCAATAAGAAAGAACACCACCTGCTACCGATGTACTCGAGAAGGCAAGGCACAGTTTTCTTCTACAGTTACTTACATCGGTACAGTAACAGCACGGGGAGGATATCCAGCAGGGCTGTTTTATCGCATGAAGTACAGCGAGAAGTATCGTAGCAGTTCGAAATGGTTTCGTTATAACATAGTACTTCTATAGTAGTATTGCTGTAAACGGAAACTATCACTTCATCGGCGTAACGATCTCACAAATCCATATATCACGTTCTGTGACTATCATCCCTGTTGTCACTATTTCTGAAACGAAAAAAAGTTATATTCTACTGATTTTAGTTGAGGTCACAATGTGAAGCATGGATACTATCGATAATATTAATATTTCATTGAATATACGTATGTACAAAATTGATTGTGCTTATTACAATTCTGCAAAAAGGATTTAAAGGAGTTAACGCACGCTAATGAGCACACCCATATCAATCGGTCGCGAAGTCAGTTTGACTCAATATTTCTCTGTTATTTTTTTCTATTAAATTTAGTTAATATTTTTTTATACCGACATTTTACTCTATCCCTCGGGTCTAAATAAACCAATTGGATATCCGTTTAAATCACTTTAGCTGGATTAACCAATCGGCGCTGAATACGTCATCAATGACGTTCGATTGAACGAAATTACAAGCTTTGTCTTCTATCTCTAGGTTTCAGGCGGAAGCGCTCTTGCTTTGTCACTTCTATCATACTCGTTCAATTGCAATAAGCCGTGGACGCACGTTATTGATGGAGAAGGGGGAATTAAGAGGGCGATCGATCGAATTGTCACCGCGTGATTCGTGCATGCTTTTCACCGGATAGACACATGCCACATCGTGATCTATCAACATTCTAACATGAGCAATAGGCAAAGAAGCAACTTTCGACAAAGCAAAATATTTATGTACTTGCCTCTGAAATGTAATTATCCTTGAAACGACCGACTTCCAATGTCCAGCATGTTCTGACAACCGGCCAATCTAGATATGAACTGATAAGCGATTATAACAGAAAAATTCCACATTCAGTTTATCTAGGATTCAACAAAAGCCACGGGATCATCCATACACCGTACAATAAAAAATATAAAAAACAAATGTTGATTTTACCCTCGAGCGTTCACATCGTCCTCGGAATTATTCTTCAATGCCTAAGTACAGTTGCTAATTCGTATGACCAACCTAGAAGAGAAAAATAATGATGAATAAACGTACTCTATACCTGTGCTCATAATATTAGAAATGGTCAGGTTATTTCAATATGCCGCACTGAGAAAAAAATTGGTTGATTCAAACAAACATGCATTGCGATAACAAAATCGATCAAATACGTCCAAAGAAATATCAAATTGAATAAACATTTTTTTATTTTTCGGTGATCCCTCCTACATTTTGTATAATTGACGACATCAGTGTGTTATTTCTACCAAAAATGTAGGTAATTGAATTAACTTTTTCTTATTAGAGGCAATCACCCAATCAATTGGTTAAAACTCCACATTCGAATTAAATCATTCGTTTAAATCAACTACATCAATTTTTCATCTCAACAAAATAATTGTTTCTTGCAATCGAATATGATTCAGGCAACAATATTTGTTTCAGTCAACTTATCTTTTATCTCTGTGCGACAATTCAAATTACGGCTTTATCTTTGATAGTATTAGAAATGGATTTTACTCAATTAATTGAATATGAAAAATCTGACTGCAGGTTTAAAATAATAAAATTATTCTGAATAGTTTTTATTTTATCATAACGATATTATAACAACACTAAACGACTTTCGCGTTAGCCGTGGTACTGTACGGACATAAAATAAGTACATGTAGGATAAGACATAGGTTCAAACAATTACTACGAGTTTTAGCACTTTAGTAAGATGTAAAAATATGAAAAATAATTTGCACTGTGTGTGGTAAAATCAGTCGGAAGCGAGGCAATTTTTTGTTCGAACTTTCACGTATCAACGAAGTACTAAGAATCCCAGTTATTTTTACGATCGATTTCTTACCATGCTCCAAACGGTGATTGCGTCACGGCATTACGATTACGTACAGACACATGACATTTAATGTGAAAATATTTTACTCCCGAACACGGTATCGCAGAAATGATTATTTTACAAATACACTAAGCAACGTTTCTCTTTTCGTTCACCAACGCGAAAATGATACATACATTACGTTTGTAAAATTGAAAGAGGCTTTACTTATAACAAAACGTTCCTTACAATAAAATCTTCAAAACTCCTAAATAAAAAACCCATTTCTTTATATTCAGTGTCTACAAAACTCTGGACTACTTAAGAAGTGGATTTAAAGATTCCAGATACTTCCAATAATCCGGCCTATCTTCCCCACTCGAAACAATACATTCAAGGTGACACGAGACCCATCGGCAAAACAACAAAGTTAACATCTTTTCAAAATCTCATTTCATTATCCCTCACCGTGACTACGCGCCAATTAAAGGACGCGTACCTTTCAGATACAAAAACCTGGCTATTAGATTATTCCGAGGTGCAGATTCGCATAAATCTCCAGATTACCCGTCGTCAATTAAGCAAACTCAATTCTGCCTTCGTGCTTTTGCGAGCCTCCGGTTAATAAGGAATGCAACCGCCCGTGAACCGCGCACACAAGAAACGACGTAAACACAACTGTTGTTTGTTTTCTCGCCACTGCGCGGCGCTGTCGCTGCGCGATCGACCGCGATCTATCGAAACCAGGAGGAGCGAGCGCGGCGCGCATGCGGGGTGTGTCACCGAGTGAACTTAGCCGAAGACCAATCGGCACCGACACCGACACCGGCTGAGTGGTGACCAGTGGTGACCGTGGCGACACTGGAGACAGTGGAAAGAAAGAAAGCGCGGGCAAGACCGCGACATCCTACGGGGCTCCTTGACCAGGACAAGATCGCCGGCTATTTTATTCTCGTTCTCGCGAGACCGTTAGGCGTAGAGCTGATTTCAGTACTTCTTGTTTGGAACAAGGTATTTTCTCGCTTACGTAAGGTGCGGGGAAGGAAAGTGCCTTTCCTCGCACCTCGGGATTTAACCTGTGACGTCCCTAACCTGTAAACACGGCACCGAGTTACGTCAGCCGTAAATCTCGGTCCAGGCGACCGTCGACGACGGTGTTTCCAAAATACGTTCTTCGATCCGAACGTGGGTTATCTTTAGCTCTACCTCAAATAACGCGTTCTTATTAGCTTTCTGACAAATCGATTTGGCTGAAAGTTTTCGCCCAAATTAAGTATGTACGCTTGATCGAATGGAGTGCTCGCGAGGGAGTCCTCGCCTAAAGGGAATATCCACTTTATGACCATGGAGGTTAATAACTATTCCCTCATAGGGGAATCGGATTTTACCGTCGATCTAGGGGCGAACCAAGACAGCTGAATGTGGTTATATGTGGATATTACGCCGTTTATCTAACTTCAGGAGGACGAGGAACTTCACGTGAGTGAAGATCCATGTTCACGGTTACACGTGAATTCCCGCGAATTACGCTCCTTCCAGTTTTACGAGACACAACGGACTTGACGACCTCGTTGCGACAGCCAGGAATCCTCTATAGGTTAAGAGACCTGTGTAGGTTAAGAGAATACATACAGTTCGGGATAGCTTTTCAAGGTACGGCTTACAAAAATCACGTACGAAGCTTATTTTATACTCGCATATTAAGAAAAATGCTGCGCGCGCACTCTCGTCGAAATTACATAATTGTAAAAAAAATTAAATTCTTGATAACGTACGTCAGCGGTCAAGTTCAAGAAAACTAATTTTTTTAGGTTATTTTCGACTTCAATTGCTTTAATTATTAGACAGATGCACTTTGATCATTGTTACGTTGAAAATTTGAAAATATTAGGCATTGGATTGTTATCGATAAACTAGCAAATACGTAAATTAAAGGAATTTAGAATATTCTGAAAATTACCTTATTTAAATAAAAAATGTATCCTATGTCAATATAAGAATTTCATCATTACATATTTACATTTGAGGAAATGACTTAGAGGTATGTGATAGAGGAGCAGGAATGTGTAAAGCGTGAAAAGTATTTCACTTTGAAAATCTTTGTTCTACCGAGGAGAAGGTAGCTCAGCTATGTACTTCCAGTGACATTCCACCGTACCTCGATATTACGAGTACAAACAGAATCTTTTTCCAACGAAGTACATTAAACGGCGCGTTCTAAGGATTGCTTGCGGCTCTTTAAACGTCGTTGCATATTTATCACACATGCAGAAACGAACGAAGTCAGAAAGAAGCTCTCGGCGTTGCGAGCTATAAACGGAGCACGACCGATGTACGCGGCCGCGTGGGTCTCGAGTAAAAACGTCCACCAGGGAGATCATTTTTGCCCACACTTTACCGAGAACTTATCGCGTCGAATAAGAGTACCAGAAGGAGAATCACGCGCACATGTGCACTTGGTAAAACATGAAACGGAAAGGAGCACAATGTTGCACCGGAATCTGCGACTCGCGGTAGCAATGCCGCATATTTAGCCTTCTCGGCTTCCGTTAGAACAAGGCGACATTTCCGAAGAACAATGCAGCAAAAACAATTCCCTTTTAATGTCACTTTCCATGATATACCAAACGTTGTGGAGCCTAACATTTCCTATTACTTATTACAAAAAAACAAAATCACGTATACGTGATTTTGCATAGTCAGTGTATTAAGAAATCTTGGGAAAATATTTTTAAGTATTCACCTCCAGGCGAAATCAACTCAGCAGACCCTAGAATGCTTACTAATTATAAGTAGGATATTTTGAACAAATAATAAGTATCGACAAATTACCGATAAACGTACTTCTCATCCTGGGAATTAAAGCACCCACCCGACCTGAATATTTCCGAAAGCCGGCTCGGAAAATCGCACATTTCCTTCATCCTTTTGCTCCTAGCTGCGAAATCAGCGTATTCGATTAGTTATTGATAGATGTATGCAAATTCTGCCTGGCCGCCGCGGAAATCCCTGAAAATTTGGACGCGTTAAGCCGAATTATCAGCAAGCGATTGTGATTGACAGATTGTTTTCCTTTTTTCCATTCTCCTCCTGCCGAGGAATTCCTTCAATGCGTCTGCAATGAGTTCTCGCAATCGCCCCGATCGCGGGAAATTAATGACTATCGGTCGGTGCGCATCGATCGAGCACTCGGCCTTCGGTTTCGATCTCCGAGAGGGGATGAAAAACGTAACTGGTGGTAATGTCATTTCGATTCCATTTTTCCCGTTGCAGGGACGAAGCCACTTTCCACCTGGACGATTTCGTTGAAACTCCCGGAGCGCCCGTCCCGAGGGCACGGCGGCTGGGGAACGCGCCCGACACTCCACTAACACGAAGAAGAAGAAACGCAGTTTTGCGGTTTCCCGCGATCGGTAAGTCGCTATAACTTATCTGTTCCAAACGGAATTGGGATGAATTGGCCGATCGAATCAATGGTTTAACAAAAATTCCATGAAATATGTCAAATTAAATCGTATTGTGGCCAAGTTGATGCTGCAAATGGAATTGGGATGAATTGGCCGGTCTAATCAATTATTTAACAAAAAATCCATGAAATATGTTAAATTAAATCGTATTGTGGCTAAGTTGATGTTCCAAACGGAATTGGGATGAATTGGTCGATCGAATCAATCATTTAACAAAAAATCCATGAAATATGTCAAATTAAATTGTATTGTGGTCAAGTTGAGGCTCCAAACAGAATTGGGATGAATTAACGGATCGAATCAATCGTTTAACAAAAAATCCATGAAACGTATCATATTAAATCATATTGTGGCTAAGTTGATGCTCCAAACGGAATTGGGATGAATTGGCCGATCGAATCAATCGTTTAACAAAAAATCCATGAAATATGACAAATTAAATCGTATTGTGGCCAAGTTGATGCAACTGACGTTGATGGAAACAATGTTAATTAATACGACTTTGTGCACAACTGCCGTTGAAAAATAATTTTTATTTTCGTCCTGTATGTGGTTGTTATTTTACATGTAGGAAGCTTGGTAAGAGTAAAGGACAATATCAAAACGCCTGCTAGTCGTCTTCATCATTGCAAATGCTACATCAGTTTACTTACAATTAGTAATATATTAAATGTGTTATAATTATTCTGAACACCTTCGTTTTTATATATAAAATTATATTCGGTAACAGAGTATTTGTTACAATAAGGTAATTTTTTAATACTTAGCATTATAAGTATGAATTCTTGGCGCGATAATAATCTTCCGATCATTCTTCCATTTGAAAGCCTTTAGAAGCATTTGCATTTGCTCTTCTTCATTTCATTTTGCTTTGACTATATTTTCAGCGAAATTGAATATTGCCGTTTTATTATTACTGTTCTCGAAGTATGGTTAATTTCCGAACCCCCCGCGATGCCGATATTGTTATTATTATCAGTATTATTCCGGATGGAAAGCAGATTCAGGTTATACCGAATGTCACGTACGGACAATTGTCGTCACGTCGGAATATCCTCTCCTGTATTGGAAGTGACGTAATTTAAAATGTATTTTCAATCATATCCTTCTATACGCGTCGTTCGCTTGCAATTACATCCCATTGTGATGATTAAAACATTATTATAATTACAACGAATAAATCTCTGGTCGATTTTCAATCAGTATTTTTTAGTAACTCAAATTGTGGCTGTATTTTTTATAACGGTATATTGTGAAAAAAATAAAAATACGTATGACGCGTCAAATAATGTTAAACTACATACATATTCTGAATAATACGTTATGTCGTACTGTAAGGCACCGCCCCTGAGGACCGGGGTCCTGTTCTCTAGAGTCGTCCCTGAGGTGATACACTACAGGAGTGAAAAAGTAGTGCCATGTCGGCAGAGTTCGCGACATGTCAGCGGCGAACATGTAGCCAACCGACCTCTGAGAAATAAATGGTTGTTATAAACTTCCCCTACGGTACTATTGTATTTCAGGTGCATGCACGTTTACATTTGCCAATTTAACACCAAATTTGTTATGGCGCAAAACATTTCCCGCGAACGTGGAGCATTAGAATTTGTTTATCGGCGTCCTAAAAAGTCCATCGGTAGCCTTTGACTTAAGAACATGTCCCACAGTGTACACAACCATTGTCTTCTCGACCGTTTCTGTCCAACCTTTCCTCTTTCCGCACGACGTTGCTCGTTTACGGTGAAATTTACTTATCGGTAATGAACACCCTTTGAAAGTAAGCGGCAAAGTTTCTATTGCTCGACGGAATTGAAAATTAAAGTAATCGTTATGCCTCCAAAATGGAAGCTCTTACTTCATTCCCGTGCAAAAGCTCCTTCTGCAACGATACTTTTGGTGGCTCCACGAATTCCGTCGCAGCTCTTCTACGTCGATACCACATGCGAAGACGAGGCGAAGGGTGATGGCTTCGCGGTCGTTTTTCTGCCTCCCGGGGGAGACGGCCGCCTCAAGGATCCGGCCAAAGATGTCTAATTTCTTCAACGTGTGCGCGCTCCCAAGATTTCACGGGCTTAGAAGTGACGAACTTGGTTACCCGGTTTGACCGTAATTCCGTCCTTATTCCTCGGACGCGTTGCGAAATCTCGATTCGCGAACGATCGCCCGGACAAAACGCGGCCTTCGCCTCGGAACCGAGGTTGAGTCACGCGACGGTCTTTCCGCGCTGGTTCCACCGTCCGAGCTTTCGTTCCCTTGTTGGACTTGGGAAATCACGCGGTCGCTGATATTCGAAGTTAATTTTTTTCACTGGATTACCGCCGCGGCGAAATTTCTTCTCCTCGACAAAAGAGCAGAGTCAAATGAAAGAAAAGAACGTTTCTTATTTCTTCCTGACATTTGCGGAAAATTACACCGATGAGAGATTTTTCCTAGGCCACCGAGAACTCGATGGGCACCTGTTACGTTCCAAAGGCACTTCATAATGTCTCGTAGTAATGGGTTTTGGATGTTTAATACGGGTTTGTAAAATTAATAAACGTTTGCATTTGCGCTAGAAGACGTAGTGGCGCGAAAAATGATCCTGCGTGGTACGGTATTATTTGAAAAAAAAAAAAAGAAAGAAATCAAAGTAAAGGACTCACCGTCGGGTATTTGAAAACCACACACAAATGTCGGAGACCGTGTTGAACGCGCACGTGGACCCAATGACTTTTCTTAATTATGTAAATTCTCATCGTCATTTAACTTAACAAAACCCGAAATTATCTACAAATTTTTCACATATACCTTTCGCAAGCTTCAACTGAAAATGACCTACATCAACGCGTCCTGCAAACTCAAGTAATAGTCACTATGAACTTATAATTCGACAAATTGACCTTACGTGCCTGTGTTCCGAGCAAACGCCAAGTACTTCATTACGCGCGTTTGTTTCGAGTAATCTAGATTGAATCAATGTGAATTCTATTAATCAAATTTGTATCAGGCAAATTCCCGCCCACCCTCGGGTCCGCGATTTTCGAGCGTGCACGTCCACCGCGTCGCCGTACGGTATTACATCAAAGGGTATACATGAAGTAAATTCTCTAAAAAACATCATTTAACTTAACAAAACCCGAAATTACCTACCGATTTTTCACATATTCCTTTCGCAAGCTTCAACGGAAAATTGCGTACATCAACGCGTTCTGCAAACTCAAGTAATAGTCACTATGAACTTATAATTCGACAAATTGACCTTACGTGCCTGTGTTCCGAGCAAACGCCAAGTACTTCATTACGCGCGTTTGTTTCGAGTAATCCAAATTGAATCGATGTGAATTCTATTAATCAAAATTCCCGCCCACCCTCGGGTCCGCGATTTTCGAGCGTGCACGTCCACCGCGTCGCCGTGCGGTATTACATCGAAGGGTATACATGGAATTCGTCAGCGAGCATTTGCAAAATCGATTGCAAGATCGGCCCGACGAAATTGCCACGGCCCCTCGATTCGATCGGGAGACAGCGCGATTGCGTAATCGCAATCGGCCGGGGTGGAGCGAGAGGACGACGCAATACGGCTTAACCTTGCGTCGGTTTTCACCGCAAGAAATCGGCCAAAGCAAGGCGGCCACTCTCCCCGTCGTAGCTCGTTCTCTCGGGCGCCGTTTTTTCTCTCTTTCTCTCTCGTTCGCCGAGCGGCCTTGGCACCAGAAGAACACCGCACGGGGCCTACATAGGTGATCGCACGGAACGCCGCGCGACACCCCGCGACGTCTCCCGATACCTCCGCGACGGAACGGAAGTCGCAAACGCGAGGACCGTACAAGATCCCGGCGCGTTTTTCTCGGGAAACTTTCGAAAGCTCCCGACTAGTCGCCCCCGAAGCTTCTTTCCGGGTCTCGTCTCGCGCGTTTCTCCGCGTTTACTTTCCGCATTGCCGAGTCGGGAGCTTCTCCCAGGTTCGTCGTTTCCATTGATTCCGCGTAAGCGCATTTCTCGCCCCCTCGCAACAGGTGTCAAAGTGCAATAAATCTCCGTGAACTTATGCCGCACCTAGATTTCTATTTCGCTGAAGAGTCGAGGGTTTGCGTGGCTAGTCCCCGTTTTTCGGGGCATTGACGAGGAGGTGCCTTCGAAGCCTTTCCGGGGAACCTAGGTCCCGAGGGTGCCGAACCTCGACGGCGCCTTACGGTCCGGTCGGACTGCCGGAAATTAAGAGACTTGCCCTGAACGCGACCGGAGGATGCAGTTTCGCCCCCCAGGAAATCCACCGGTACGGTCAACCTTCAGGGCTTCAGAATTTCCGCTTCTGGAGGAATCGCTCCTTTCGGATTCGCGATGTTCCTCCGGTATATAACGATGCGTCGACTTGCTTGTTGAAAATTAAGAGACTTTCCCTGAACGCGATCGGGGGTTGCAGTTTCGCCCCCCAGGAAATCCACCGGTACGATCACCCTTCTGGCTCAGGGCTTCAGAATTTCCGCTTCTGGAGGAATCGCTCCTTTCGGATTCGCGATGTTCCTTCGGTATGTAACGAATGGTCGGCTTGCTTGCTGGAAATTAAGAGACTTTCCCTGAACGCGACCGGGAGTTGCAGTTTCGCCCCCCAGGAAATCCACCGGTACGATCACCCTTCTGGATCAGGGCTTCAGAATTTCCGCTTCTGGAGGAATCGCTCCTATCGGATTCGCGATGTTCCTTCGGTATGTAACGAATGGTCGGCTTGCTTGCTGGAAATTAAGAGACTTTCCCTGAACGCGACCGGGGGATGCAGTTTCGCCCCCCAGGAAATCCACCGGTACGATCAACCTTCAGGGCTTCAGAATTTCCGCTTCTGGAGGAATCGCTCCTTTCGGATTCGCGATGTTCCTCCGGTATCTAACGAATGGTCGGTTTGCTTACTGGAAATTAAGAGACTTTCCCTGAACGCGCCCGGGGGATGCAGTTTCGCCCCCCAGGAAATC